ACATATATAAAGTTGAATTATTATTTAAAGAAAAGTAATTAATTTTCAATTATTTAAAAACCATATTTAATATTTTTATATTACACTATGCGTATATATAACATACAAGTATACTGTTAAAAGTTTTTATAAAAAAACTTTTTCAGTATAACGTTTAAAATTACATTGTTAAAAATTTCTACAAATTGATTTGTAAGAACTTTCAACAATGTATCCGTTATTTATTTGACATGTTAATAGAGTCGATGACAAAACTAAAGACAATACAAAATCAAGAAAAAAGGAGACAAAATGTATAAAGATTATAAAAAATACAAATATAAAATAGAGACATTGATTAATACAAAATTGATGAGACCGTCTTGATTTATTAGGACTGTTATTTTCAAATAATAATCAATATAAAAGCAAATGATTAAAATAAGTGAGAAAGAAAAGTTGGCACAAAGAATTTTAACAATATTTTATATAATTAATTTGATTTAAAAATTTGAATGTTGCGATTCCATAATTTAAAAGTAATAGTAGAGATAAAAGGGCTCGAGGGAATAAGCGCTGTTCAAGGTGTGTAAACTGTTCAAGAATATCTCTCAATATTAAAATTAAATTTATTGAAGAGACCGTAGAACAAAACATAATCGTTAAAACGATAATAAATTCATACGTTTTGATTAATTTTTTAACTTTTTTTTGCGAAAAATATACGCAAAAAAGTTGTATAATTAATATTGCTCGTTGTCTCTGCATACAAAATTGGAAAATGTAAATCTATTCTTTGCAATCTCCAGGGAAACCAAATTCTCTGTGATGTAATTTATGTCGGACAAACAGGGAGACAATTGAAAACGAGAATCTCTGAACATAGATCTCATATTAATAGAAACATAACACATTTATTATAAATAGGTTCACGATTTCATCATAATCATGATGATAATGATTTCTATTGAAAAGACGTTAAAATATTGGATAATGAGCGGAATTACAATAAGAGATTAATATCAGAAATAATCAATACGAAACAATAGAATAATAGCATAAATTTGAAAACAGACACAGAACTGCTAAACCAAGCATATTTTAATTATTTTAACTCTTAGTTTGCTTTTATTATTAACATCGAACTTGACTTTTAAATGATCGGCAAGTTCTCACGAATTGTCTCATTTTACTGTTTGACGATATATGATCGACACATTATTCTGTTCACTATACATTTCATTTATTATTTTATAATTTGATTAAAAAATCTTTAATTATTTGACATCTTTACTATCAAGACTTTGCAGTTTACATTATGTGCCTGCAGTTTCCATTATGGGTTTTTTTATTTCATTTTCCCATGCTAAAATATTTATTTAATTTTGTTATTAAAGGTACCGACTTTGTGATTTCCATCCAGCTTTGTAACTGACATAGGAGAATGTATTCTCGACAGAGAATTTAGAGTTTGCTTCCCTGGAGACTGCAAAGAATAGATTTACATTTTGTATGCGTAGACAACGAGCAATATTAATCGTGTAATTTTTTTGCGTATATTTTTCGCTGAAGAAGGTTAGAAAACTAATCGAAACATACGAATTTATTATTGTTTTAATGATTATGTTTGTTCTACGATCTTTTCAATAAATTTAATTTTAATATTGAGAGACATTCTTGAACAATTTGCACACCTTGAACAGCGCTTATTTTCTCGAGCCCTTTTATCTCTGTTATTAATTTGATTTATTTCGTATTTCATTATTATAAATATATAAATAAAGTTTTAGTTATATAAAAAAAAACAATACAATAGAGAAGAAACATTTTTCGTAATTTTTTAAATAAGTTTATTTTTAGAAACTGTTATTTTTTGTGTGTAAATTTTTATTTTCTCTTTTTCTCTTTCCTGAGAGTTACTAAATAGTTAACTTTTTTTTCTTTTATTTAGATTCTTAAGAAATTGAATATGTTACATATTTTGTAACACGTTTTTGTTTTGCATCGAGATTAACATGAAGCAAACATTATTTTCAAGGCGGTTTGACGCGATGTGATCAGGATGTGATTATGCGAAAGAATGTAAAAATGGAATAAGGACCTACGTACCTTTGTACTTTATCTTAAGATGATGCCCTCGTTCTTTCAAAGCTTCGTGGCCGACTTTAGTCGATCGCGAGGACTCTTAGGTAGTAATTAAATCGAGATATCGTTCGATCGTTTATTACAGCGTTATCGTTATCGTTGCTCGGCTGTAGCAATCAATCGTCCGCTTCTTTTATTGTTCACGAAAGAAATTTTTCCTGAGTGCTATGAAAACTTTATCAGAAATAAGAAGAATTTATTTATTATGTTTCGGTTTTCTTTGAGATTGTGACTTTTAAGAGTAGCCTATAATACTTTTTGTATCATATAATACCAATATTGGAGTATATATTTGACATATATATAACTTTATGAAAGGAAAACTACGATAATTTTATTTGCAGTATATACATCATCAGAAATTTTAATATATTTTTATATTTAATGTATTGATTTATCTTATTTATAAAATTATTTGCTTACAAAATATTTTGTAATTTAGAGAATCTTTTAAAACATTTTAACAAAGCGTAATACAATATTTATAGTATCAGATATAATATCATCGATAAAATAAATATAAATGAAGTCATTAAAGTATCTTGCATTAAATAAACCTCGAAACATGTTCGAGTTATATAAATTGTATAAATTTATATATAAAATTATAGTTATATAATTATGTTACATTGAAGACGATTGACTGATGCAGTTAAATGTGTCGGAAGAAATGAGGAAAGTATAAATTGCGGATTACTATGCGAGCAACGGAATTTGTTAAATGATAACGTAATGCAATGTAAATATTCACGAAATTTAGTAAGAGGGAGGGAGATGAATGCACATAGCCTGTTGTCTGTAATAAAACTTTGTAATTAATGGCATGATTTGACGTCAAACAAAAGATTTTAACGGGAAGATAACATAAATATGTATAGAAAGACTATATTATACATATAACAAACACAAAAGTGAAAAAGGAGAAATATATACATATAATGTACATACACATACATGATACACGCATATGAAGAGTGCACTCAATTGCGACATACACTCACACAAGAAAAACAGACATCCATCTGCAGTACTCTCGCATCGCAATAAAATAAATTCTAAATTGTTCCGTATT